GGGTTGCCGGCGTTCGGGACGGGCGTTCGGCCCGAACCCGAACCGCCCAAACGTTCGGCACCCCCTCTCGAAGCGTTCGGCCGTTCAGCCCAACGCGGACCCAAAAAAAATACAAAAACAAAAACAAAAAAAATATATGTTATACAGAAGAATAAACTAAACAATATTTTCCTGAACGTTACATCCAAATTCTTCACCAAATTTGAAATGAAAATCAAATACTAAAAATAAATAATAATCATGAAAATTAGAAAAAATAAAACGAAAATGAATTTATTGAGTGGGCAAGCACGTTTTGGACACCACCATCTTTGGTGATTTTTCATTTTTTTTTGGCTGTGAAAAATGCTATGAAAATTTATATATCATGTATCTTATATAAATTATTATCTGCCGATTTTTCATTTTTGTTTGGCTCAACAGAATGGCTTCAAAATTAAGAGGGAGATACCTTACATCACATAGAACTCACAGAAAAATTTTCAGAAAAAAATAACAATATTTAGGTGCCAAAATATTTTTTTTGCGGGGTCCAAACCCCTTCAGGTTCGGGCCCGGTACGGGGACCCGAGGAGCCCGAACGTTCGGGGGGTCAGCTTAGGGGCCTCCGTACGTTCGGCCTGGCAACCCTGCTGGGCGTTTTTTTGTCCTGCCCAGTATACCCGGGCGGCCCCCCCGGGATCAAACGACTGGGCCCAGCCCGGTAGGGCAGGCCCGGCCGGGCGGCATCCTCACTCAGCTGGAAACATGAAAATGAAAAAATTGAGTTGTCTGATTTCCTGTCCGGTGAGTCAGCATATCCGATCTTAACGATACTTTGGAGAAGATTGAAAGCATCTGGCAAACTACTGTTATCCGTGACTTTTCACTGGTGATCACGTGGTTGAACGACCTGGCAACCACCGAGGGTGTCTCCGTTGCCGATCTGCACACTAAGATCACATGGGAAGAGATGACCAAGCAATCCAAGAAGCGATTCATAGTCAACGATGCGTAATCACATCTTCAACGTCACCCAAGGATTGAGATTGAAATTTACACTGAATGTTTCCCCTTCCTAAGAGGAAACATTTCTACATGGTATCACTGGGATCACAGTGGAAGTGATTGAAAACCATCATGCATCGGTATTTTTTCTGAAGATGGTCCCGCATGAGAACACACGGCTCAGCCCGAGTGAGGAAGGGGAAATGATATTATTGAAATTAGTGTGTACGAACCTTCAGATAGCATCTGAATACCGGAATAAAAAATGGTATAAATGGAGGATTTGTAGGAGGGTGTAATTGTTTGAAAAACAAACATAGAGGAACGAAGTACATGGAACCTTTATGAGAAACCTTTATGACAAAGAATGGTGTTCCAGGTCTTCGAGACGAAGAATTAACCCCCTGCTAAGCCAAAGGATCCATGAACAGCGTTGACTACGACTCACCAAGAAAAACAGGGCACGCGGGTCATCTAGCCGCTCAGTTTGCCCATTTGTTTTGTTTTCGTTGGGTATAGGGCATCGCAGCACTACTCACCAAGTGGGCACAAAACAGCCAGGCCGGAACTGCAAATACAATAACAAAAGAGTTTGGGAAGACTACATGTGGTAGGAGAATCTCACCTGCGTGGACAAGTAAGTGAATTCACAATCCTCTATGAATTCACAGAGGTGTGAAAGGCCGCTCTCTTTAGCGTCGGGAATCTCCCGAATCAAAATCAGAATGGAGTCCACAATCGCCTTCTTGTAGTCAAACCCCCCCTCTTCCCTCAAGATATTGCTCAAGAAGTTCATCCTGTCCATTTCCATGCATTGGAAGGATACAGAAAACAATTTTAGTCAGAAAACTACCCCATGTGACCCATACACAGAGGTGTGATGCGACACATGCACAGAGTGTGATGTGGCCAATACACAGCGGTGTGATGCAACCCATGCACTGTGGTGCCACACAATCCCAAAACCAAGCTTACTCAGCGTACACTACCCTTTGCCAAGCAAACACGAGCATGACCTACACTGCTGCTGCTGTCCAATACACAGCACCAGCCGCTGTCCTCTCTATTCTACAGCACCCACTTCTGAAAGAATTTCCACTAATTGTGCTACGGGTTACTACATATACAGACAATACAGCTTTTCTTTCTCATGGGCACCTTTTGCATTGATCTGCTTCTGATTCAACAGTGTAATGACCCGCCCAAAACACAGACTGAGAACACTGCTGATTTCTGGGATTTGCCAATGGAATGAATGCCTTGCTGTGATTCCCGCATTCTACTGTGGTCCCAAGTCTGTGTGTGTGCGTGCCTGCTAGTTTGCATGCCTGTCTGAGTGCTTGCCTTATGTGTGTGTGTGCGTGCCTGCTGGGTTGCATGCCTGTCTGAGTGCTTGCTGGTTGGGTATGTGTGTAACCCGCCAGGGTACTTGTTGGTTGCAAGGCCCACCGGGGCGTTACTTAACTGTGGCCGTGACTTTGGAGGGTTGCAGGGGGGTAAACATGCCGGTAGCGGGGAGTAGGCCCACGGCACTTAGAGCAGCTGTGGAAAAACACTCAAGTAGCAGGTAGGCCGAGCAGAAGAAGACAAAAAGTTGGCATTTTTAGAGGCCCAGTAGTGGTAGGTTAGAGGTAGGCCGGTACCAGTCCAAGTAGCCCGGGTCTAGGGCCTGTGCGGACAATAACAGAGCCTGCAATGATGTTTCCCTCCAAAAGGGAGGAGGTACCAGTTGCTGGGAGGCCGCTTGGCCTAGGAAGTCACCGCCCAGGAGGCCGGTAGGCCGCTATATCTTCAGGAAGAGCGGTGAGCTCTTCCTCATTTGCGGTATGCAAGGATTGGCGACATGCTGCTGGAGCGCAATGCTGGTCTGAGGCAGCGCTGCTTGGAGGTGAAGGTCTGCTGGGGCTCAGCCTGGCTATGGCGAGCACCCCAGCTTGAAGGAGGAAGAAGGGGGACATGGTAGGAGAGTGGTAGGGCACTTACCTGGCTATGGTGGACACCGTCTTCATCACCTTGTTGGGCGCTGCATCTGGAAGGCCCCGGTTGGGGTAACGCTGCACCAGGGCAGCTAGAGGCAGGGTCAGGCATAGCAGACCGAGTCAAGCAGCGACATAGCTGCTTTGGGTTGTCTTTCGGGCATCAGGGCAGCATCATAGCTGCCTTCCAGGAGTCCGCCATGACCTATGCTTGAGAGAGGAGGTTGAAGGAAGGAAGACAGCCATGGTGGACTTGTTGTTGTTGTTGTTGGGTTGTGAGTTGAGTCAGCAGTAAGGGGGAACTTCGGACATTGATTCTGGTTCATCCATTCATTGTTATTATTATTGTTGAGAGAAGAATAAGATTGGTGAAGAGAAGGAGGAAGGAGGAAGGAGGAAGGTGGAAGGTGGAGAGAGAAGGGGGAATTCTTCTTCTTCTTTACCTCTCCTCTGGTCTTTATCTCTTGCAAGTGCTTTCATATCTTTCGCAATTGGGTGGCATTGTCTTTCATTGTCAAGTGGAAATGACCAGGATCGTAACAATAGTATCAAAAGCTTTACCAGTTTTACCTCTTTCCTTCAGTTCCCTTCACTCCCTTCTTTGCTTCTTACGATTCACCTTCTCTCTCTCTCTCTCTCTCTCTCTCTAGAGAGAGAGAGAGAGAGAGAGAGGGAGAGCACATGTGCATCACTGCCTGTGGACAGCACATTGCAGCCCCCTTCAGTATAGCATCTGCCCTCCATGTGGGCATACATAAACCACCTTTTGCAATCCCGTTCAAACACCTCCTATTCTCAAAGTTTTACAACTTGAAGCACGTTCTCCAAGTTTATGACAAACAACCAGCCACCACAGCCAATTGGCTTGCAAGACCACTCCAAACTCTTCTTCATACTGACTCTTACCATAAAAGCATCTCGAATCCTCCTCCTCACTACGTGCACAACCCATATATTGTGAAGCCCCCATCACTTAAGCATCATACGACCCACTAGACACTCCACCTGACTCCCCACAGTTACATGCAAAACAGGAGCACCCTCCTCAGCACTTGTTTCACACACCCTTGTTCTCGAAGTTTTACAACTTGAAGCACTTTGTCCAAGTTTATGGCCAACAACGTCTTCAGTAATCTCAACCAAGCCACAGCAGTTAATTGGCTTGCAAAACCACTCGAAACTCTTCTGCCTACTCACTCTCACCATCTCACAATCCTCCTCTTCACTGTGTGCACAACCGACATATTGAGAACCCCACATCACTAAAGCATCATACAACCCACTAAACACACCACCTACCTCCTACAATTGCATGCAAAATCGGAGCATCCCCTCAACACTCCTTTCCCACCCTTTTATACATAAGCACATGCTACCACACGCCTCCACACACTTTGTTTCCACTGCACCTGCCCCCTTTCAAACCTCTCCCCTCCCCTCAAATACCACGCAAACACTGCAGCATCGTTTAACTCCTTAAGACTGCCAATATCCTCTTCTGTACAAAACGCTTCTCATTTGGTGTTGTATATGCCACCAGATGTCACACTAAACCATCAGCACATCGCCCCAGACAACTTGAGAATCACAATGGAGCCTCTCTGAAAGAATCAGGGGCTCCGGGCAACAAGACCAAAATCTGGCTGCCCAGCCAAAACTACAACAAACTTCACCACACTGTCGTTTTGGCAAAGCTTGGCGCACAGTGGGAATCCACCTCGCACAAAAGAGGCACAGATGTTCTGGTCCTTTAAATCACCAGGGCATCTGTTTCTCCTCTACAGAATGACTGGTATACACATAGGCTGACACAGTTTCCATCACTAATGAGCAGCCCTTCCCCCATAGCCAGAACGGGTTGGTTCGACAGCATAGGCCCTGAAATGCTTGCAGTTTAGGCTCACCTACCCCCTCCCGCTCTCTCCCTAGTTCTTTGACTTTACCTTACCACTCATAATTTTGTAGCCAATTCTGAGTTTCTGGCAGTCCCTTCATTTTTTCTAGGCCTAAAGAGTCTACTGTCCAATTTCACGCACACGATATTAACCACAACTACCACTTCAGGGACCAATAGGTGAGAAGAGGGACGTTAGGAGCGACACCACATAGGTGCTCCACCGCAAGCCTGCCGGCCATTTTGGTGAACTACATGTATTCGTTGTCGATGCCGACTGCTGCAAAATGACACAAAATATGATCTCACAGCTATCCTCACTGTTGCACGAAGCTGGTGCTACCATTAAGCATAGTGACTCCCAGGACGAATTCTGGATGCCAGAAATACAAACAATGCCCCGCCAACTTGTTGATACACCACCAACTTGTCCAACCAGCACACTATGTTGTTATCATGTATCAGGGAGTATTTTAGCTGTTACCGAAACACAAAATTCTGACGCCTACACACAGCATGTTAAAAGGGCCTTTACCCGATTCAGACCCTGTTTGACAAATGCAGCATAAAGGGGTCACTCGCCCAGAACCCCAACTCGTGAAAAGCAGAACAAAAGGCATGTTCTCTCTGGGTCAAAAGTCACATCCTAACTAAGGTAGAAGTCAATGCTAAAGGTCACAGTTGTGCCCCTGGACGAACAGTTGTAATATTCAGATATGGGAGTCACATCTGTTCATCCAGGGGGTGTGCAGGTCATGTCTGTTCATACAGGAGATGTGTCTATACGTACAGTATGTGTATCTGTTCGTGCAGCATGTGTGTCTGTTCGAGCAGCAGGTGCGTCTGTTCAAAAGAAGTCCAGAGGATAAAGTCCCAGTCAAGATTCAAGTCAAAGGGAGAGTCTAGATGCAGACTGAAAGTCCGAAATTAAGGCCTGACGGCCGCAGCAGCAGAGACCCCTGAGGTTAGGGACTGGGACATACACCATGCACAGGTCTGGGACTGAAGGAGGCCCAAAGGTGCCACTGCACACCTCGCAAAGGGAGGCCAGCAGTATAAAGAAGCAGGCCAGCCTCCCTTGAGGACGGGTCCCCAGTGGCATTCTGGTGTGGAAGTGCTGAAGGCACTTGTGCGCTGGCTGGCTGGGTGAGCGCTGGCAGGAGAAGCTGCGCTAAGAGAGGAAGAAGGCTGGGCGCTGGTTTGCAAGTAGCAGCCATAAAGAAGGCTGGGCGCTGGTTTGCAAGTAGCAGCCATAAAGAAGGCTGGGCGCTGGTTTGCAAGTAGCAGCCATAANGTTTGCAAGTAGCAGCCATAAAGAAGGCTGGGCGCTGGTTTGCAAGTAGCAGCCATAAAGAAGGCTGGGCGCTGGTTTGCAAGTAGCAGCCATAACTGCCCCATCTAGTTGACGTAGTTAGAGGGTTAGTAGTTAGTCTTCAGTGAGTAGCATTCGGAGTAGATTCTCGTAGAGGGAGTGTGCATGCATGATGAGAGAAGAGAACTGAGATAGAGATCTTGAGGGAGAGAGAGAGTGGAAGGGGCAGGTGTATGCAGTAACCCGCACTCAGCAGAGGCCGGGCTGTGTGACCACGCACTGCCCGGCTCAGCCCAGCGTCTGGCCAGTGAGACCCAGCGCTGGACTGGGGGAAATTCAAAGCTCAAAGTCAACTGTCGGGTCGCAGGTACCGTACCCAAGTCCACGAACAGATACACACTTGTTTGTATGCAGGTACCAGGCCAAGACATCAGACCAAGGGAGAATCGGTTGCACACCGATCCAGGCCGTCGCAGCATCAAGATCTGAACGGCACAGGACCGCTGCACTGGGGCATTGACCCCCGAGTCAACAATACTTAAGGTTGACTCCTGGCTTGGAGAGGGGGCATTCAAAGCTGACTCTACTTTGACACGACGCTGGCTTGTGAGATGC